CTGGTTGTGACAATAGACATTAGCCTCGATATTGGGGATGTCCGCTGGCACGAACCATGGCGTCGGCGTCGGCTCCGCTGTCGGCGTCATGTCGTCGGCCTTGTCGTCGGAGACCTTGGAAACGTTGATCCACTCCCACAACTCCACAAACGCGGCGTCGTCCAGTGCCTCGCCCATCGGTGACTGACCGCTGGCCCGCAAGATCTGGATGGTCACGCCGTGGTACTTCGAAAACTCTGAGGTAATGGCCGCCTTGATCGCAGACACCTTGGCGCAAAGCGACATCGTGTCGTTGTTGAAGAAGACTTGGCAAGCCACCGGGGCCCACGTGTCCAGCTCCTTGAAGTAGCCGAAGATCCTTCCCATGACAACATATGGTTGTTGTTGCTGCACGTCGTCCTCCAAGTCGTCGCGCTGCGGCATGTCGATCAAGACGATGGTGCGCGCTCCCCTCGTCACTTCCACCGACGTCGCTGCAGCTGCCCCAGCTGCCCAAGATGCCATGTTCGAAAGTTCGGTGTCTGGCGAGAAGAGAACCAGCGGCGTCACGGCCACGCGCGTACAAGCTGGCTGGCGAGCAAAGAAAGCTACGGATACGCGGATACGCAGGTGAAGCAAACTGTCGCGTCGCGACACCCCATGCGAACAGCTCCCAGGAAACTGCGCGTGGCGGTTTCAGAAATCTGGAGGTCCCCCATCGGTCCCCAGGTGTCACAGGTGCGCTGCGACGCCCTTCCCACCCACCTCCCACCTGCCCTCCACGAGCGTTTGCCCACCTGCCCGTCCAGGACGGCCAGTCAACACATGACGCATCAACATAGCTGATCGATCGATCGATCGATCGATCGAATAGCGCGCGGGTGGAAAGGGGCGAAGGCGAAGGATGAGGAAGGAGTGCCTGCGATGTGCACGTCGCATCGTATGAGGAGGGGCGTTGGCACAGGAGGCGGAGTAGGGAGGGAGGAGAAGGGCTGAGCGTGAGAGCGTGTGAGATAGAGCCGCATCGTATCGGAGAAAAAGAGAGGCGACTGAACGGTGAGAGGGAGGAGCCAGGGAGGAAGTTGGAGCCAGGGGAGGTGAGGTGGAGTGCGTTTGCGTTTGCGAGCCCAGCGTGGCCTCAACCAGCGCGAGCTCTGCTTGGCAGCGCTGACTGAACTCGAGGGCCCAGCAGTGCTTGAAGCGAGGCGCTGAGGCAGCTCGGGCACCAATCGAGTCCAGCCAACGACGACAGCCTGCGGTGATGAGCTTCCCTGCGGTGACGTCGGTACCTACACCAGAGAATGACGAACTCACCCGAACAGCACGACGGCCACCGATGATAGCACGAAGAGCACCACCACCGATGTTAGTCTCTACTTGAGCAAGTGCATAATCAACCCATTGATGAGCTGAAACAGCGTCGGTACAAGACGCGCGAGCACCGACAGACAGCGCGCGACGAGTCAATGGCAACAGTACCTCATCACACCAAGCACCGCGGGTTGTGACCTGTCGAGCCAAGTTACGGCGGGCACATATAGCGTCGCGGTTCGCGGCGACCCGCAGAGAAGGCACACTGGACACGTCGGGCTCGAGGTCGCACAGCGATGGGAGCGCGTCTGGCATCGATGGGAGTATCTGCGGCGTGGATACAACTTCTGTGGAAGTGGAGATTGCAGTGGCAAGCGTACAACGCGCGTGCAAGCCTGACCTTACAAACGGCTAAATTGATGGTTGAATGTCCGATCGGGTGGCTAACCACACACTGAATTTCCACCAAGAATCATGACAAACTGATGACTCGGTATGCTTGCAACGGGCACCCAAATTTCCTGATTTCGAAGCATTTGGGAGGGCCTCGGAGTGAACATCACTCTGAGATCACTCTGGGGACCGACTCAACACAATGAAAACCAAAGCAGTCCCGTAGTGAATTCACTATGGGGGGCGATCCTGGAGTGAAGCTCACTCCGCGGTGGTTCGGAGACCTGCGAAATCACCTCAGAAGCAGCTCTCGGCGTGAGCTCTCTCGCACATCAGAATCACTGACATTGGGCTGGTCACAATAGCAATTAACCTTGCAAACGCATGCAAACTGACTGTCACGGAGGAGCATGAGAGGATGATATGGATGATATGATCGCTCTGCCCGACCCCCCACGCACGCAAGGTGATGATCGACGGCGACAAGCTGATGCCAACGGTGCGATTGCACCATGCACGCGCTGAACACGAAGGCGGGTGGAAGAGCGGGGCGGGTGGTCAACAGTGGGCTGATGTACAGCGCGCATGCTTCAGTATGCATCATGATAGCCGCTGGCAGCCCAGGCACGCGCAGGGTATGTGGCGGCGCGTGGGGCCCGAGACACACTATTTGTTGCGCGCGCGATGTCTGAGCAAATGGCAGTGCGTATGCCTTGTATGTGACACGCGTGCACGCGACGAGCTGATCGAAGCGTTCGAGTGGACCCTCTCCATCCTGCCTCGCAATCCTCGCCATCGACAGCATCAACATCATTAGCCTGCTGCGCCTCATCCAAGTGGTAACGCCGCCCGCTGGCAGCGGCTGGAGGGATTGGGGAGGAGGTGAGGAGGCATTGGGTAGATGGCGTGCGTGGACAGGCGAGGGAGATGGATGTGACATGATCGCACGATGACGCATATGAAGTACGATTGCGCGTGCACGTCGGCCACATCATCCATGCGCGACCAGGTGGCCAGCGCGCTGTGACGGCGCACGCGCCGCGAGCCTAGCTGATGCTGCCCTCCATGCAATGCATGCACGCCGCGCACACCCAGCTAGACTGGGTCAGCTGGTCGTACGTGAACGCGCACCTGTAGCTCTGGAGCCGAGCCTCATGCGCGACCGCATCCTCCTCCGGCAGCGGCGAGAACAATCGGTCCCATGCTGCTGCCCCTGCGCGTGCCGCAAGGCCACTGTCGCGCATCCCGACCGCGCACCTCTCGTGCCAGAACTGCTTGCACACAGGGCATACCAACCAGTCTGTGGGCTCACCTGGGCTTGTCGCGGCCGCGGTGCTTAAATGACCCTCCCATCCGTCAAGCTGTCGAACTTGATTCGAGCCGTAATCGTCGAATCGCCGGTTCGATCGGTCGTCGATCGCTCGGGCAATCGATCTATCGGCGGATGTTGCGTTCACAGTCTGCCTCCCGAACCCCCGCCCCCGCCCCGCCATCAACCCCCCTGCCTAGAGCAGCGCCGACAGGAGGGGGGGGGGGGGTGTTGCGATCGCGCGCCGCGCCCCGTCCTGAATCCAGCAATGATGAGAGAGCCCCGCGCGTTACTGCCACGCCCGATGGAGGGGTGGGGGGTGAGCGTCAAGGGGCAGGGGGACGTTGTGGCGGTGGTTGGCCCAATGGAGAGGGGAGGGGGGGGTGGGGGCGGGTGGAGTTACATCATAGGCAACCTCAACCTTCTTCCAGGCACATCATATCAGCGTTTCAGTTGTAGGCGCCCTTCCCAGAAGCCAAACCCCCGCGCCGCCGCGCCCGCGCCCCTCGAGGTAGTGGGCCCTGGGCAGGGATCGTCCTAAGGCTGGTCAGAGAGGGCGACCTGGGACGGCGTCGAGCAAGTTGGCGCGCTTCCTGCAGGCGACGCAACGAGGAAAATCATCGTCACACGCGTGGGCTGCAATGCCCGCCTCGTCGCCGTGGTACACGAGATCCAGGATGGTCTTGACGCGCATTACCTCGGCTGGGGCGCCAGGGGGGTCGGCGAGAGGAGAACGACTGGGGGGGCGCCCAGGGCAAGGAGGGGGGGCGGCGAAGATGGACGAGGATGGACCCGTAGGGTGAGGAGGACCCTCTGACGAGGAGGATGCGAGGGGGGCGCGATGGGATGGGGAATGCGGTGATAGATGGGAGGAGGGGCAGGACAAGCAGGGGGATAAATAAAGAGAGATAGGGAGAGAGAGACAAGGAAACGGGAGAGAGGAAGACAAGAGAGATAGAGAGAGAGAGCGATAACGAGATAACGAGATAAGGAAGGAAAGTGGAGCAGAGATGAAGGCGAAGTAACGCGAGGGACGAGAAGGTTGGATGGAAGAGGTGAGAGGGTAAGAGGGTGAGGAGGTGAGAGGGGGTGAGAGGTGGGAGAGCGAGAGGGTGCGAGGGATCCCCCGGCTGAACCCACCTGCCCGCGCCTCCCACCCCCGCCGCCGCATCTCCACGCCACTCTCGCTGATCATCCCGCCCTCCCGCTACCGCCCCCCCCCCCGCCGCCTGGCCCTCTCTCCCCACTAGCCCTCAGCCCTCAGCCCCACGCATTTCTGCCCAAGCGACCTCGGCGGGCAACTCGCTGCGAAGATCCCCTGTGAACCTCCGCATCTGGGCAATGCAGTTCGGAATAAGTATTCGCAAAGTGCCGTTCTCCAACTCATCTTTGACGCTGACCCTGTTGGCCGGGCGCCCTGTTGCATCCTTCGGGCCAGGCGGCGCGTAATTGATGTACTTCCTGTCCACGATGACCCACCTGCCTTCCTCGCCTGGAACATCCCAATGAAAATATCGCAGCGGGCCCGCGGCTCTTCCAGCGGTGAGCTCCAGCACCAAGGACAGGTGGTTTAAGGCAATCGCCGTGCACGATGGCTGCTGAACAAATGCCAGCGAGGCCAAGACAGGTTGGACTGCTTCGCACCACGCCACAGAAAAGGCATCGATGAACTCTGCATCAGGATCTGCGACATGGTCGACGCCGACAGGTTTGGCCACGTCATCAGCTGACCCCTCGACATCGTCATCGTCGGTATCGTTCTCTGGCTTGACATCGCCCATGCCCAGAATCACGTCGACGATGTGCTCATCGAGAGACCTGGTCGGGTCCTGGGGAGGAGGCATGGCCGAATGCGCGCTGCGCCCGCCAGGCGAACCGCGCCACCGCGTCGCCACCTACCCCAACTCCCCCTTGCAACGCGCAGCGCAAAGCCGCGCGGCGACCAGGGGGGAGCTGAGCAGGGCAAGGACGGCATTTGTCGAGGTTCGGCCAGGGGAGCGGCAGTGCCTCATTGCTGCCCCCCATTGTCCGAAGCAGCGAGCTCAGCGGCACGACGCAGCGCCTCATCACGAGCACGATCTGCCACTGCACCGAGACGAGCAGCGGCGCCAGCTATGTCGGCGGCGTCGCGGGCATGTGCGTCACCTTCGTGCATATCGGCTTCAGGTTCGTAATCTTCATCGCCGAGTTCGCCGCGGTCGTGCTCCACGTCAAGGTAGGCATCAGCCTCAGCGTCGGAGTCGGCGGGGTCGTCCACGCCGTCGGCCCCGCCCCCGCCAGACTCGTCGCTGGCGTCGCCGTCATCACCGCCACGGCACTTGCAATATCTAGATAACATAAAACATACGTACTCTTGTTCGACAGACGCCCTGTCCATACACTCACAGTCCCAGCAGAGGTCATTCAATTGTAACATCGAATCCACGGCATCCGCGTCACGGTCGGGACTAACATAAGCATCGTGATGCACGGACAAGACGCCAAACAGCGTGGCGAACGTAAGCGGCATGATAAGCTTGACTTGGCCACCGTCAGACACCTCTGTACGAACCGACCACAATTGAGAATAATATGTGTACGAAGGGATCCAGATACCGCTCGTGTTGGTCAGCACCCCAAAATCAACCGCGCCACCACGTATAGGTATGATGCGCCAGACATGCACGGCTGACGGCAAGATACGCTCCTCCCAGATATCCTCGGCAATCTTGTTCATCCTGGGAAGGGTGGGGAACGCGGCGCATATCCATCCTCTCCTCTCCTCCCACGCTCCACCCTCTCCCCCGACCTGCGCCGCGCGCTTCGCTCTCTCCCCCTCTCCCCCAAGCATCCTGGCTCATCCCTTCTGGGCTGGCGGCTTTCTTTTACCCCAACCGCTGTCGCCCCGCCCCGCCCCCCCCCCCCCCCCCCTTACCTCTCCCGCAGCATCTCCCCCCGCGCCCATCCCCTTGATCACCTCGTGCTACCCCCCCTGCCATCCTCTCGCCGCCTCTCGCCCCTCCTCGCATCCCGATCTGCCTTATCCCCACCCCACCCCCACCCCTCCCCTCCTAACCTAAGTGACCCCTCCGCCGACCTCCTTCTGCCGCCCAAGGTCTCCTCAAGCAGAGCTTCGCCGCGCACTTGGCGCGGGCGGTCTTCTCCGCAGGAGCGCCCCGCGGGACAGCGGGGTCACCGGGGCGCGCGTTCGCTGCAAATCTGGAAGTCGTCGACGTCGAAGCCAGTTCCACGGCAGCCTGCGCGGGCAACGTAAGAGACGGTGAGATGGCGGGGGCGGGGTAGACCACGGCGACTGCGACAAGGCTGGAGGATAACTCGGAGGGGAGGAGGCTGGAAGAGGACAGGCAGAGTGATCGACGGAGTGGCACCCCACCCCGCTGAACGTGAAAGGAGAACACGGTGGATCGGGTGCGCCTTGATCCTCTTCATACTCCTCATCGTCGTCCAATCCTCCTTCCTCCGCCAACTCCAACGATTCCTTCCACATCCTCTCCTCCTCCTCGACGCCCTCGCCATGCCTCCCGCTCGCCAGCCTTGTGATGGTAAGCGCATCGTTCTAAGAAGGCGTCCCGAGAATCTCTATCGCCGCCCAACCGCTCCAAGAACTTGCGCATCGACATCCGGGCAGACAGCAGCGGCCATGCGATCGCTGGGGAACGCTTCCACACCGTCTTGATAATGCTGTTCGCGCCCTCGATCTCCTGCGTGTCCAGCTTCCACTCGCGCGCGATGGCGTTGACGAAAGCCCAGAGCTGCCTGTCCAACGCGCCTCGCCCCTCATCTCGACATCGAGCCAGCTCTGGCGCGAAGATGTCGACGAACTTCTTAGAAGTCGCGTCGCACTGCAAATCGGCGGCAGCACCTGGGAACGCCTCTGCTGCCTGAAGCAGTGAAGCCGCCAGCTCTCTCCTTTCATCGCACGGTTCCAATGGGTGGGCGAAGGCAAGAGCGAGAATCCTCAAAGGAAGATCTGCCACCTGCACCATCACCCTCCTGTTGTAGTCTGCCGCCATGCACAAGCTGATGTGCACGACTCTGGACCGCCGCAGCGCCTGCTCGTCGGGGTCGGCAATGCGCCTCACAGGGCCCCAGTACTTGGCGTCGTTGCCTTCTAGCAAAAGGTCGACCCACTCATTCGCAAACTGCCTTCCCTTCACACAGACGAAGTCGATGGACCGCGGGCGCGAGTCGCTGGTAGTTGCAGACTGCAGCCAACGGCTCAGATGCTCTGAGGGTGACCTCGTCCTGTTGGCGATGAACAACGTTAGCCAGAACGTATTGTCGTTGGCCGTCAGCAGCACGTCGGCTTTCCATTTCGATAACCTGTCGGAGTGAGCAACTTCATCCATTTCACCCTCGGGGAGAATAAGCCGCTGTCTGCGCCCGCGCCCGCCTCGCCCGCGCCCTCGGCCACGACCAGCGGCCTTGGCCTTGGCGACAGCCGCTGGGCGCAGGTGGGCAGTGAACACCTGGGGGACCTCCGCGGGTTGCGCGAACAACATGTAGGCCTCAGTGCTCGAAATGGAATTCCATCGGCCTCGGAGCGGACGAGGCGGGAGCATGCTGCGCGCTGATCTCGCACGGGCGTCGCTCGTCTGAGCAGCCCACGTCTGCTTGATCTTCTTGCCGTCAGACCTCCACGCGTTGACGAGAGTTCCCAATCGCCCGAAGTAGCCCCTCTTGAACCAGCGATCGATCTCCACGAGCTGTCTGCCAGTCTGCGGAGGGAGCAGTAGTTTCAGTTGACGTCGTCGTCGCTGCCGTCGTCGCCGCCATCGCCCCTCGACTCGCCCCTAACCCAAGGGCAGAGCGAAAATGAGAATGGAAAAATGAAGGATTTGGGGTCGAGGGAGGCAGGCAGAAGAAAGGGCACCATGAGGTGCATGCAGTGCTGGAGACACCACTGCCGAAACTTGAGCACCCACTTGCGGTCAGCCAGAACGATGTCTAAGATGTGGTCTGACCCCTTCTGGTCGGGACCCTGGTCGCTACCGAAGAACCACACGTTGGCGTGGAAGATGCGGTCGTCATTCTCGATGAGGTTCGCCTCGCAGCGGCGGCAAGCACGGAGGAGAGGCCCCGGGGGGGAAGCAAGGCGCCAACGTCACCCAGTGGGGAGAAGGAAAGTCCCCGCGGTCTCGACTCAATCCCTCCTCAATCCCTCCATCCCATCCACCGCGCGCCCGCCAGCCTGGTCCCAGCACGTAGCACCCGCGCACGACGCCTGCTTCCAGACCATGGCGTAGGACTCCTCGCCAGTGCAACTCTCTGGCACTTGCATCAAGTCAGAGTAGACGGTGGCACGGCTATCTGGAGGCGGCTCGACTAAGTCAGGCTCGCCCCAAGCGGACAGGGCAGCGTCCGCAAAGCAGCGGCCATTGAGGAAGGCCTCCATGCAGTCGTGCGGGATGTCGGAGAACAGAGCTGACACCTCGCACGTGTGAGCCTTGCAGCCTAGCCAATCGCCAGTGTTCGTCGCGTCGGCGCGCACGGACACAATGCTGTGCGAAAACGATCGGGTCGCCGTCTCGCTGTCGCCATCTGCTTGAATGCACCAGCGTGCCAGCGCGTGCCGCTTTCGCAGGTAACGGTGGTGGTTGCTGTGCCACTCGCGCGTCTGAAGCTGAAGCGACGCGCCAGCCAGCGCCTCCCAGCGGTATACGGTCTGGCGGGTCGACTCCACCTCGAACTGTTTCAACAACGACTCGACGCTGCCATGGCCCATGCACTTCTTCACGGCGAAGCGGTAGCCTCCAAGAATCGAGAACCAATGCCCCTTCTTGTCGACCCGCCGCCGTTTCGACG